TGTGTGTGTGTGTGTGTGTGTGTGTGTGTGTGTGTGTGTGTGTGTGTTCGTGAAGGGGTGTAGTTCCAGCGACAGGCGAGTCCCCAGGGGCGAGGTGTCCTCCATTCCGCGGGGTTTAAGTTTCGGTGGAAAATTTCCCTCAGAGGCTCCGCCTCCTTCACCTTGGCAACGGGCGCCGGGGCGGCCTCGCAGCTGAGCCCGACCCCCGCGCACCTGACGGCCGCCCCTCCGGGGGGAGGGGCGAGGCTAGCGGCGAGGGCAGGGGCGGGGCCGGACACGAGCTCCCCTGGGCCGGCCAGGCAGGTCGGGCCCCGCCTCGGCTCGGGCCCCGCCCGCGCTCCCCCGAGGGCGCGGGTTGGGGGGCGGGGGAGCCCAGGAGCGGCGCGGCTCCGCCACCGGCTGACGCACCGTCGGAAAGTTGCGCTCCGACCTTCTGCCACCTCGTACTTTCTTCCCGGGGCGCCGCTGTAGACTTGGAGGTGGGTGGGGAGGACCCGGGCCGAGGCGTGAGAGCGGCCGCCGGCCGGGGCGCAGAGCGGACTGTCCCGGTCTCGGCGAGGAGCCCGCTCCCCCTTCCTCGCGGTGCCCAGCGCGGTGGTGGCACAAACTTTCTGGACTGTCCTCGGACAGTCGTGGCGAGTCCCGCACCGGGCCGGGAGGAGGAGCCGCGGCCGCTGACAGGTACGTGGCGTGCGGATCTGAGATTTGCGCTTGAGGGATTATTTTATTTTAGGGGTTATGGGAAGGCGGAGAGCAGAAGTATCCCTTGCCTGCGTTCTCCGACTTGGCGGGAGGAGCAGGAATTGTGAGGGGGGGCCCCCGCTGGGACTATCCCAAACAAGATTGCTGTGTCGGGCCGAGGCACGGCGGGGAGGAGGGGGCTCCCAGAGCTGCTGGACCGGGCGTGACTCGGTGACTGATCCCGGGGGAGAAAGAGCCAGCTTGTTTTGACAGAGGAGGATGGCACCTGGGCTCTCCACCCTGTTTTTGGTTCTTGGGGCCGGAGAGCCGGATCCTACCGGAGGAACAGGCGAAGGCGAAGAGATCTGGGGCTCAGTTTTCCTTTCCCGACCTCCTCGCTTTCACACAAGAGGCAGAGGCGGTGCCACTCTGAGGATTGCAGCGCTTTCCTGGTGTTAGGACTCACTTGTTGGGTGGCTCTTGCTCAGTTTCGTCAAATTCTCTAATGAAACTGCGTTCAAGTCGTGGTTGTTATTGATGATGATGATGGTATGTGTGTGCGTGCGTGCGTGTGTGTGTCCTGCTCCGACCTTAACAAAGGTCCCTTGTTAATTCCACTTCTGGTAGGGAGTGGAACTAACTGCTGTCCTATCTCAAGCCCAGCCAGAGAGAGGTGTTGGTGGCAGCGGTAACCTTGTTTACTTGGGACTTTGGGAGTCACGTGGGCAGTTCTGATGAATTAGCCCAGGTCTGTCCCACCCACTTGGATCCATCCATTCTTAATAGACCCGGTTTATGTTAATCCCAGACTCCTAATTTATTCGGGTTTATTAAGAATGGGTGGATCCAAGTGGGTGGGACAGAGCTGGACTAATACACACTGCTATCTGTAAAATAGATATTCAACAAGGACTGTATAGCACAGGGAACTCTACTCAATATTCTGTAATAACCGAAATGGGAAAAGAATCTGAAAAAGAATGGATGTATGTCTTTGTATAACTGAATCACACTGCTGCACACCTGAAACTAACATTGTAAATCAACTATACTCCAATACAAAATAAAAATTAAAAAAAAAAAAAATAGACCCGGCTTCCACCATTCAGCAGGTGCTGCAGCCTTAGGCATCCCAGGGTGGGGAGTATTCCCCGTGGAAGGAAGGAGCCCAAAACAGAGGAGAGACAGCCCTGGGGAGGAGTAGTAAACAGTGCGCACCATTTGTTGCTTCCCTGTGGATTGGGCCCACTCCCTGCCTTCTCTGGCAGGGCCCTGCTATCAAATTCATCTCATTAGAAAGTCAGCTGCTCTCTGCTAATAGCCACAGCAGCCCTGATGAAATTATGTAGGTCATTGAAAAAATAATTCCTGCTTAATCACCTTTATCCTGTTGATTAGCGAGAGAAAAGATTTCCTCTCCTTAATGTACCATGCCTGGTCAGCAGGGTCACCTGCCTGACCTCAAGTTCACTTGCGCACCTGGCACTAGACAGGATGTTTTCCCTGAAACTGCCCAAATGTAGCGTGCCACAGCCCAAGACCACATCTGGAGAAGTTTAGTGGTCTTCTCTGGGCAGAAATGGAGCAGGAGATTCAGTCCATAAATTTACTTTTTAGTGCATCATATTTGTTGGCTTTAGATAACTTTTCAGATAATTAAAGGCTGGTTTCTTTTAGTTCCAGTTAACCCCTTTCCGCACAGCTCATAGAATTGTTTCCATGCTTGTCTTGAAATAAGTTACGTTTGGGGTCCCATTTGTCATTTGACCTGTAGCTTTAGGAACAGGATTAAACTGTGTGGGGCATGTGGAAAAGACAAGAGAAACTGAGTATCACTGAACTAGATTCAGAGAGAGATTTAGAGTGGTCTCATAATCTAGATCTATCTGCCCAGCTAGCCTCCTACTTGCCTCTAAATAGAGACACTATGGTTGTATCACATTCAATGTAGGCCTCTGAAGACCAGAAATGAGAGGACTGTTTTACTGTAGTGTCGGTAATGCATTGCTGGACAGTTCTTCATGATAACTTCCCAAATTTGGTCCAAAACACTTTCTCTGCAAAGTTCTTTCTGTTGTAATAGGAAGCCAATAGATTATGTCTGCAAATCAAAAAGCAGATGTACAAATTATTTTGAAATATAGAGGTACATATTAGAAGAAGCCTGAGGAGTGACTTTTGAAATTATGTTCTTGTATTTTATTTTTATTTAAAAAAATATTTACTTATTTGGCGGCATCAGGTCTTGGTTGCAGCATGTGAAATATTTCATTGCGGCACGCGGGCTTCTCTCTAGTTGTGGCGCATGGGCTCTAGAGCGCGTGGGCTCAGTAGTTGTGGTGCATGGGCTTAGTTGCTCCGCAGCATGTGGGATCTCAAACCCGGGTCCCCTGCATTGGAAGGTGGATTCTAAACTACTGGACCACCAGGGAAGTCCCCTTATATTACTTTTATAAAGAAAATTAGGTAAGGAAGCTCTCTCTCTCTGCAAATATAAAACAATTGCTTTCTCTGATCCCTGCTGAGATGCTCAATCTTTGTTCTGTGTGCATTTGTCTCATAGGGCAATACATAGACCCTTTGAAGAGCTGGACCCTCAGATTCTGGCCTTGGAACATGATTTACATCTATTTCACTCTTATTCTCAGTGACTTCTGACTCTTAATTTTTAGCCTACATAGGAGAACAGTGACCAGTAACTTCAGGCGCTTCATTTATAGGGATCTCTTAGTGAAGACAGTAACGGAAAGTAACATTTTTATAGTGCTTTATGAGTAACAAAGTGCTTTCACAGGTATACCGTATTTGTGCTTTGTGATTTAACCATTTTGTAGTTGGTGTATTATATTCAGCTTACACAGGAGGAAAATAGATGAGATTCAGAGAAAATAAGGAATTTTCAGGTGCATACTTTGTTCCTGTATGTGGTGGACTCAGGCCCGAATGCAGGACTTTTCTGATTTAGAGGCCGGGCTTTTAATTTTTTCTCTGCTACATTTTGTGCAGTGTTTAGATGTGCAGTGTTTAGAATGGGACCTTATTTCTCATTAATCAAAATGAGTGCTCACTGGGGACAGGACTATATAGAAACACGTTCTTATACATGTGTGTACATGCGTATAATCTTTATATCCTTTGCATCTCAACAGTGTAGCTGCACCCCAGGAGGTGGGACAGGTGATAAATGCCCCAATAGTTGCCATAAGGAACTTTTGGTAGGGTCTAAAATTGAGAAAAATCAGAAAATAGTAATCTAAATGTGTGATTTACAAATATGGAAGTAATTACTAGAAGAAACATCTAAAAGAGTTGAAGGGGCTTCTTTTGGAGAGTGGAACTCAAGGTTGGGGAGGAGCCAGGCAGGCGTCTGCTGTTTTTGGTCATGTACCTTATAACCTTATACCTTACATTTTATGCTATGCACATGTGTGTGTGTGTATATATATATATATATATATATGTATATATATACATATATATATGTATATATATATATATATGTATATGTATATATATATATATTTAAGATATCCTTTGGCAAGGAAAGAGTAAAGCTTTGTTTTCAGAATTTTAGAGCCGAAAGGGACCACAGAGATTGTTTATTCTCCGTCCTTTGATTTTGCAGGTGAGGAAATTGTGGTAGAAGAGTTTAATTGTTTTGCCAAGGTCACATGAATGTGGAGACACCCCTCTCCCGGCACAGGTTCACACCCTTCCCCAGGCAGGTGGAAATTTCCCCCATGCTTGTGATTCCTCAGTTACCTTTCCAGGCACTGTTCTCTTGTCCTTTCCATCTAGTTTTTACAATGTTTGAATAGGTTACAGGGCTGTGGATTCAAAAGTAGGTAGCTATCTCTAATTCCTCGTATTTCCATCATGAAAATGCTTCAAATAGTTTCAGAGTCTGCAGAATCCTTTTTTTTCTTCTTTTTTTTTTGGTTAATTCTGAAATAACTTAGAGACATCTTTGCAGTTTGTTTGCAACTGTTCAGGAACTGACAGTGTTGAATTTGATAAATACTGGAGTTTGGCCTAAACTTTTATCCCTATAAGCTATTACTAACGGGAGATGGTAAGGGGCCCTTCCAATGTCTGTGTATGTTGTTCAGTTTTGAAATTCTGAGAATAAGGAAACAGCTGTCTTCCAAAAGAGAGGTAGAGGCAGATAATATTGTAGAGAATATTGTAGAGCTAAAATAGAAAAGTTTTTAACACCCTAAGATTTCCCTTTTCTTTTTTCTTTTTTTTTTTTTTGCGGTATGCGGGCCTCTCACTGTTGTGGCCTCTCCCGTTGCGGAGCACAGGCTCCGGACGCGCAGGCTCAGTGGCCATGGCTCACGGGCCCAGCCGCTCCGCGGCATGTGGGATCTTCCCGGACTGGGGCACGAACCCGTGTCCCCTGCATCGGCAGGCGGACTCTCAACCACTGTGCCACCAGGGAAGCCCCTTCCCTTTTCTTTATACATAAAATTTTTTCCTACTTCCCCTCCAATTATATCACTAACTTAAAATAAAACTTTATTTTTTCTGATTATACACACAATACGTATTATTCAACATTCAAACATCACAGAAATATGTAATGTTGAAAGATAAAGTGCACTGTGATCTTGTATTCTAGAGAAACTTCCCCCAAATTTCCCTGTATTAAAATATATTTATTATTGTGATTGTTAATAACAAGTGGGGTAATATAAAACAACTTTCAACTTCGTTTTTATTTTTAACTTAATTGGTGTTGAAAATGTTCCCATGACCATACATACAGATCATACTGTATAGTATTGCATGACAGGTTATTTTAACAGTTTCCTGTTGTTGGAAATTTGGGTTGTTTCCCATTTTTCTATAGTAAGACTAGAGCTTTAGAGAACATCCTTTAAAGTCTATCTTTGTACACTTGTGTAGGAAAGGTTTGTGAAAGAGTCAGAGGTATGAAAGTGCTAAATTCCTCTAATTTACACTTCCTCTAATAGTGTCCCTACATTGTAAATTATATT